TACATGAATACCCAATCTGTCTTTTTTATTCCAAGCATCAAAACCTTCACTAATAAAAGAGTCAGCATTTGCTTGTTTTCCAATCTCAGGTCTAAAAAGATAACAATACAAAAAAAAACAACCTCCTTTTCTACACTGTATTCCAACCAATTGGCATATTCTTTATAACAACTGGGATTAAAACGACATATTAGATTCCCATTTTTTGCTTTTTAATATTATGATTGTGTTGGCAAGGTCTTTTTTGCCAAGTAGACCCTTCTCATTTTGTTTTTAATGTTAGAATGATATTTTGAAATTTTAATCCTCAATCCAATATCTGCAAGATGACTACTCAAGTTAAACTCAACATATGTTTGTCTTGAGCTAGATTTCATAGGCTCATTGTGAACACTATCGTGATGCCTTATGTTTTGTTCAATTGATGGTTCCTCATTAGAAAACTTTCTTTTGATCACAAACTTGTCAATAATTGAAAAAAGAAAAGAATTTTATTATCAGAAAAGTAATTATTTTGCAATTACAAATCCAAAAAAAAAAAAAAAAACAACACAAAATTCAAGAATGAACATATGTTAACCTTAAAACCTTCCAATTCCTTAAACAATAATTACAACTTAATTTATGAAAATCATCAACTATAAACTGAAGCTCCAAATCTCACAACTTAGGCTTTTCAAACAATTTCTACCAACCCAAAAAAATTCAACTCATAAACCCATGAAAACTCATCAAATCTAGCTATAAGTATCAAACAGTTAACCAATATATCAAAATTAAACCAAATCCCTAAATTTCTACAACTTAGGGTTTCATTAATTCTTTAAACCCATTCAAAATTAACTCAATAACTAACCAAAATTTATCAAAGTCAACTTAAAACAACAACTAATTAACCGATACCTCAACATAAATAAGATTAAATCAAAACCCAATCAAAATCTCAGAATTTCATCTTCCAATTTCAAACCCATATATTAAACTCAACAAAAACCAAACGTATTACCCAGAATTAAGTAAACCCAGCTCATTAAATATACAATTATGTCAATAAATTGACAAAAACAACCTAGGGCAACATAGCTCATGATTTTTCATCAATTAAGAAAGATAAAAGAACAGATTTTTAGGCAAAATAACCAAAAATGAGCATCATCTTACCTTGTGACCTCCAAAGGAGTAGTCTTTCTTAATTAATCCAACCAAAAGAAAAAGAAGTATAAGAGAAGAGACGAGGACGAGAGAACGTGAAAAAAAATATAGGTATTTTCGAATTCTGAGATCAATAAAATATGGAAATATCTTAGTGAGGCCAAGAAAATATGGGCAATTTTATTGGGGTCAATATTTAGTGGGGTCAAAATTATTAATTACTATAAAATATATACATATTTTTAATAATTACGGAATTTTAGTGGGTCAAGTGACCCCACTTAGTATACTTTGGCTACGCCCCTAGTTCCAAAGCCAGGATATCTTATAAGGCTAAGGATGTTTCTCTATTTTGAGGCCCAATTTCTCCACCATTTGAGTAGATACCACATCTTCAAAGCTTTCACCATCAATTATGACGTTGCACACCTTGCCATGAGAAGTGCATCTAGTATGGAAAATATTCTTTCGAAGCCAATCATCTTCTAGTCCATTGACAACACTTAAGTTCCTTCCAATAAAAATAGAATACCTTTGATCACCATAAGTGACACCTGCTTCCTCATCTTCTTCATGAACTGTAGGTTCAACTTCATTTTTTACCTCATTGTCTTCATTGCTCTCCTCTTCAACAAGTGTGACTATCTTGCGATTAGGACATTTAGAAGTAATATGCCCATAGCCATGACATTTAAAACATCGATGAGAGCTAGCATTTGAAGGAGGTTGTTGCTTATGATCAGCCTCACTATCACTCTTTGTTGTTGCCTTAGAAGTGGATTTCATACATGTATTAGATTTACATTAGAGGCATTACCCCAATTACAAGTATCACTGCTGCTCACAAAATGTGAGCTAATTTCATGTGCTTTTTTGTGTTTTTTCTCCACTTTAAACGCAAACTTACAAACATGATTGTAAGACCACTAAGGTTGCGATTGCACTACATAACCAATATTTGATCTCAAGCCTCCAAGATAATGAGCAACAATTTGATATTCCACTTCCACAATATCACAGTTTATCATAAAATGATCAGACTCCATTGTATACTCCTCGACGAATAACTCCTTTTGTTTAAAGTTGTGAAACTGAAGAAAAACATTATGCCTATAGTTATCTAGAATAAATTTTCTCTTAAGTTCTCGTTTCATCTTCTCCCAAGTCACAATTCTGCATCTTTCTTCTCGATCCCTTTGTTTTTTTAGATTTTCCCACCATAAAGAAACATACTTCTTCAAATTCATAGAAGCAAGTTTCACCTTACGACGTTTTGGAGCATCTTTGAAATAAAAAATTTGCTCAACAATATTAAGCCAATCAACAAACTCATCAGGTTGCAATCTTCCTTCAAATTCAGGAATATCCACCTTTACATCAAAGTCGTGATGTAGAAATAAGTTCCTTAAAGTCCGAGGATGACAGGGAGTGTTATCACTAGACGTTTGACTGTGCACTTTGTGAATTACATTGTTATTATCCCCATTGCTGGATCTATTATTTTCTTGGTCATTCTGCTCAACATCTCAAACATGGTTCTCATATAGTTATAGACGTTGTTAGAGTTGCTAGATTGTTGCCTCAAATAAGCAATGATGATATCACGTTGATCTCCATGTGATTTATGGTCTTCTACCGATGTTGTGCATGCTGAGAGGTACCTGCGATGTGAGGTCTCCCAATGATGGTTCAACCAAATAGAGAACCTTGCGACCTTTACGCTTTTCCCTGTCGTCACAATTTTTTTCCCTCAAGGGAATTGGACCATCAACATACTCCTTGAAATGATATTTCTAAATAAGGTCTTCAATTGCCTACTTGAGAGAATAAAATTCATCGGTATGATGTCTGATGTCCTTGTGAAAGTAACAGTATTTCTTGTCGCTCCTCTTTGACAAGGGTGCCTTCATAGGCTCTGGATATGCGAGCAAGCTAGATTCTTTTGATAAAGCTAGGATGTTTGAGAACGATGTGTTCAATGGAGTGAAGTTGTCACAATGAGGTAGCGGGGCATAAGCCTTTTTGGGCTCAAAACGTTGTTTTTTTCCCTTCCTCTGATCATCATTTGCCCATTTGCGATCATTTCTTCTACTTTCCCCCCAGGATTCATCCCTTCGAATGGGAGCATTGGTTGAAGCCTTGGGGTTGTGGAGATTTAGAATTGCCACTGAATTTTCAATTTTCAAATATTTCTCTACGAAGTTGTAGAAGTGAGTAAGGGAGATGTTGTCTTCTGATTGCAGCTTATTTCATAGATTAGTTAGCGAGCGAACTCCTGCAATAATTAGAGTTCGCACTAAATCTTCTGGTGTATTAGCCACCTTATTCAATTCCCTATGGAATCTGTCAATGTAAGACTTGAGAGACTCGTTCTTCTCTTATCATGTGTTGCTCAAATTAGGGGTTGACAACAATACCCGTAACCCTAACTGAATATTGTAACCTAACCGAATTTTTTGGGGACCTGAAAAACTAAATCGAATTCGAGTAGTATATAATTAGGTACCCGGTTTTTTGGTTTGGGTACCCGGTTATATTTAAAATATAAACAGGGTACCTGAAACCTAGTTTTTTTTTTTTTTTTAAAGTAAAAAGTAAAATCCCAAATTGATTTGCCGTAAATCCAAATAACCTTCTTCTTCGTTTTTCCGTTTCTCCATTTCTCTCCATTTCTCCAGTCGTAACTTCCCATAATCTTCTTCATTTATCATTTTCTCTCCACTAATTTCTCTATTTTTCTCCACTAATCTCTCCATTTCTCTATTCTCTCCATTGGTCCACTGATTTCGCTCACATCTTCTTCTTCATTTCTCCATTTAGCTCGCATTAGTTATGTTCTCTCCAATCTCCATTGATTTCGCTTGCATCAATTCTTTATTTATCCATTTCTCTCTACCAATTTCTCCATTTTTCTAGTTCACAAAAGGTATTTGATGAATTGCCTATGTTGGACTCTTTTTATTGTTAAGAATTATTTCTACATTTTTTTTGCTAACTTTTCAATGTTCATGTTGTTTTTGTCTTTTTGATGGTTTTGGCAGAGAAATCTTAGTCCTGCTAGCTGCTAGTGCTGGATCATTGTGATTCTTCGCTCCCGTTGCTTTTTATATCAGTTTAAAGTCTTTAAGCCTTAAGGTAATGTTTTATAATTAAGCTAGAATAATTTATCATGTTTAGATGAGTTGAGTCCACTGTGAAAGTAATTTGATTATAATCTGTTTAGATGAGTTGATTCTACTGTGAAGCAAATAACATATGTCAGGAAATAGGAATTAAATGCCAAGAATTGGATGCTAACAAGTTTATGCTGTAATAGCCTGTAATATGCTAGGAATTTTCAATTTAGAATCTGTTTTTGGAACTTGGTTTGGAGTCTAGTATCATATTACTTCTAAACCGTGATAGCCTTGTCTTTAAATTTCAAGGAACTCATTCACATGACATAGAGATAGAATAATGAAATCTTAATTAAATAAAGAAGAACTAATAATGCTACTCTTAATTAAACAAATAAATGAGCCTACACATGGCTTTTGCATTTGAGATTTGTTAGAATAAAAAGAGAAATTTAAGAAATCTTAAATTTGTTTGCTTATGAATTTGAATGGGATTAATTTTTTTTTATAAAATATTGAATATAGAAGGGACAATATGATTAAATAAATAAGACATATATTATTTTTATGGAAGTTTATAGTCGGATTATTAGTCTTTTCCCATGTAATATCTCTACTCTAGTGTCGTCACTATTTTGTTAAGGTAATACCTTCAATATATTTGTTTATATTATTATAACGTTAATTGATGAAAGACAAATTATTTATGACACATTTGTATTGATATTGTAAATGTCCTCCACTGGTGACAATACTAGTACTGTTTGTGGGATCACTGCTAGTGGTAGTCAAACGTCGACCTTGGTGACAGAATGTGAGAGTCCTACTAATGTGACTTCCCCCATGCCTCCACCACCAACTAGACCCCCTAAAGGTGTAAGTTCTAGTACTACTTCTAGGAAGAATGCTTCTGAAATGTGAGACCATTTCACTAAAAATGATAGTGAGGATAGGAATAATATGACAGCTGCTTGTATTTATTGTGGGTTTGTTCTTGCTTGTCCAACTAAAAGTAGTACTACCTCCCTGCGTAATCACTTAGCTAGGTGTAAAAAATACCCTTTCAATGTGGTGGACAAGAAATAAAGAACCTTAGTATTTTAACAACACTCGGGTGACCACTCAAGTGGTGTTGCAGCTACTTCCTCCTCCGCACATCCTTCACTTATAGCTTGAAAATTTGATTAGGATAAGATTAGAGAAGTTGTAGCTAAAATAATAATTCTTGATGAGTTGCTCTTTAGGATTGTGGAGCATGAGGGGTTCCGTTATTTGATGAGTATGTCACAACCTAGGTTTCAAGTTCCCTCTTGTAGAACTGTGGCTAGAGATTGTTTGAAAATTTATATTGATCAGAGACAGAAGTTGAAGTATTTGTTGAGTAAGTCATCTCATAGTGTTTATCTCACCATTGATATGTAGACATCGTTTCAGAATCTTAATGACATGTGTCTTACGACTCATTTTATTGATGATGATTGGAAAATGAACAAAAGGATTTTAAACTTTTGTCCAATTACTAGTCATAAAGGTTTAGTTATTGGCAAGGAAATTGAGAGATATTTGATTGATTGGGGTATTTCTAAGGTGTTTACCGTGACTATTGACAATGCAAGTTCTAAAGATGTTGGAATATTTTATCTTCAGCATCGGTTAGAACGTTGGAATGGAAGTGTCTTGAATGGTGAATTTATTCATATGAGATGTTGTGCCCATTTATTGAGTCTAACTGTGAGAGAGGGGTTAAAAGAGATGGATGACTCAATATTTAGAATTCGTTCTGCGGTGAGATACGTGAGGTCTTCTCCAATGAGATTGCAAAGGTTTAAGGAATGTGTGGTGCAAGAAAAAATTGAAAGTAAAAGTCTTCTAGTTCTTGATGTAGAAACAAGGTGGAACTCTAATTACTTGATGTTGGATGTGACTTTGAAATTTCAGAAAGCATTTGACTTGTTGGAAATCCAAGATACTAAATATAAAGATGACCTTCGTAGTGGGGAAAGGTCAAGGGGTGTGCCTACATGTACTGATTGGGATTATGCTTGATACTTGTTGCCTTTTCTAAAAGTTTTTCATGATGCAACTGTACGTGTTTATGGCTCTCTTTATGTTACCACTAATGCATACATGGAAGAGATATATGCCATTGGATTGCAGATTTTGACATGGACTCAAAGTAACGATCTTGGCTTACATTCAATGGCAACAAAGATGAGGGGAAAACATGAAAAATATTGGGCAAATGTTGATAATATCAAATAATGTTATTCATTGCAGCGGTATTTGATCCTAGCAAAAAGTTAGAATATGTATATTGGACTATTGATAATTTGTATGATGATGTTAATGTTGATAAACTGAAAACAAAAGTGCATAACACTTTGGTTGCTTTATTTGAGGAATACTGGGTGGTTAAGGGTTCTCCTATTGCGCAGTCAAGTGAACAATCTCAACTTGCAAGAAATATTGATGTTACTAATCCAAATGTTTCTCCTCAAGCCACTATGAAGGCTTGGTATAAACAACAAAGGGTTGGACAGTGTGCTTTGGAGCCCAAATCTGAGTTGGATAAATATTTACGGGATTCATATGAAGATAACGAAGACAAGAATTTTGATATCTTGACTTGGTGGAAGATTAATTTAGCAACATATCCAATTCTTTCTTTAATGGCATGAGATGTTTTGGCTATGCCTGTTTCCACTGTTGCAGTTGAGTCAGCATTTAGTACTAGGGGTCATGTATTAGATCCATTTCGTAGCTCACTTACTATTAAGATGGTGGAGGCTCTTATTTGTTCACAAGATTGGATTCAGGCTATGTGTGCACCATTCATCAGTGAGGAGAGCTTGGATGAATTATTGGAAATTGAGTCAGGTAAAACTTTTGCTTTAGTTTCAATTATTTAATATTTAGTTTCAAATATTTAATATTTACTTATATTTAGTTTTTTTCCCTTTTTTTTTTCGTAGAATTTTCATCGATGGCATTGGACAATACTCGTGGTCATCTAGATGATTGATGATTCTATGACATTTTGTATTGGTGCAGCCCTCGGAAGGTAGAATATGCAATCTCATTGCCTTTTTACTATTTTTATTTTGAATTTTTTAAATTATTGCAGCCATTAACCATCATATCATTGCAATACGCTATTTTTTTAGACTTCTACCATAGATTTTTGGATGAAGAAATCTACCATAGATTGCTATTGGATATTTGGATTTGGATGAAGAAAGATGTTTTTATTGAATATTTGGATTTGGTGTAAAACATTTTATTTTTGTTTTGTGTAAAACATTTTATGTTTGGTTTATGTAAAACATTTTATGTTTGGTGTGTGAAACATTTTATGTTTGATTAAAATTTGAGGAAGGTTGAAAGAAATATTGCAATTTTTGTTTAGAAGAAATATTGCAAGTTTAATTAACATTTTATGTTTTATTAAAATTTGGAAGAAATATTGCAAGAAATTCGGTTTTACATTCGGGTATTGGTAACCAAACCAACATTTCAGGTACCCACATATTTGGGTATTGCATAAACTGATTTGGTTACCGGGTACTATTTTTACCCTAGCACAAATAGCTAAGCGGCATTGATAACTTCCTGTTCGCCTAGAAGTGCCTCAAGAATAATGAGCTCATCTGCTGCCATGTGTTGATAGACCTTGGTGGAAGTGATTTGAACCAACGTTTTGCATGGGCAATCAGAGTCAGTGTTAAGCAGTGACATTTTGCCAAGTTCGAGACTTGGTGCAGCTCCACGAGGTCATTAAACTCATAGAGGTGATCTTGAGGATCAGCATTTCCGTCAAATGCCTTCATATCTGGCATTTTGAATCTTGGTGGGAGAGGTGCTATTAGAACCTTGGGAGAAAAGGGAGACGCCTCAGCAATCACTCCCTGCTCATTTGTTTGAGCTCGAATCTGGTCTAGAGTTCGTTGCAAATCCTCTAGCTAAGGAATCAAGGCTTTTAAAGGATTACTTTCCACAATCTAGGTGTGTGCCCTACGATTGTAGTTGATAAAAAATCATAGATCAGTGCTTCCCATGCTTTGGCTGGAGCCTTTAGCATGCCTTACACTTGTGGGCCAAAACCCTGTGAATATGATAAGTGGTTGGAGGAGTTTTCCCTATCTTTACGATGGTCTAAACAACACGCTGATGATGGGTGTCTCCTCTCGGTGATGGTTGGAACCATCGTGTCGATGATGATGGGAATCTCCATGCCCGGCACTTTCATGGGCGTGCTCATGCAATGTGCCGAGGGACTACCTTAAGCGTGAAGTATTGCCAAGCCGTAGAACATGAGTTCTATCTCTCTGTTCATGGGTAGTATTCGAATGCCCTTTTGAGCCTTTCTGCCTTTAATCGATGACGCATTTGTTAGAGTAGATGCCCTAGAGCCAATCAAATTATTGTAGAATTGACTCTTTGTAATAATGTTCATTAATCAATAAAAGACATTGTGACAACCACTTCTACTCAAATACTCATAAGAATGTACATAATAAAATACATATAAAATAGTATAAAGAGTTGGGCCCAAATTTTTCTTTTTATTAAACATATATATTCTTTACAAACATATACATATTTTATACAAAATTGTCAAAAACATGGTGGACAGTGCAACCGCTTCCCCTCGTACGCCGGTGTCCATCCGACCATGTCCTCACCTAGATCCTGCAAAACATAGGAAAAATAATGGGGTGAGCACTAAAATAATGCTCAGTAAGTAAATCCTCTACTCGTCTAACCCCAAAACTCTCTCTCTAATTCTTTCCTTACAAATTCTCTTTGGTACTTCTCTCTCTATTTCTCTTTCTTAGAACTCTTTTCTATTAACTCTCTTTAGTAAGTCACGACCCCATCTTACCGGGGGCACGGCCGGGGCTCACTCCCACTCTCCGTGACTTCTACTCATCCTCAGCCGATCGGACTCGGTTATGCATGGATTCGGAACCCTTGGCCATGTGAGTATATAATCTCTCTCTCGGGTACTCGGGTATAGCCCTCATCCACATGCACTCTCACGGGCTACACCACTTCTCTTTCTCATACTCATGCCGCTCTCTCAATGCAGCGTACATGCGGGAATACTCTACCCATTACTCATGGGTTCCCCATCACACAACCTACTCTATGCTCTTTTCTCTTTGTTCTCTAATGCTCAATCTCTCTTTCTCTTTACCCTTAAAGTAACTTATACTCAAATTCTCTACTATGTCTCAAGCTACTTCTTAAGTGCATAAAAATGCATATGGATAGCTCATGCTCACTAATGCACTTATGAAATGCCAAATACAAGATTTCCTCAAAACAGTAATTCTGCATAGGTCACACTAAAAAGGCCATAACATGCGTTATACACCTCTGATTGCTACGGTTTTGGTCTCGTTTTAAAGCTTAGAAACAGGGATATAACTTCTATGTTTTGGTCTCAGCCCAGTTCAATCCGTAAGATGCTAAAAAATTACTTATAAAGTCATGGTAGTGACAGGGCAGATTTCACTTAGGCATTTCATCAACCAATTCATGTGCATATAAACACTCTACTAAAATTACTACTACACTTCATTCTCTAGCCATCCAAAATGGGAGAAAACTCCCTCGTATAACCATAATCCCTGTCAAGAAAAGCACTTCCAAATCTGTTTACACAACATCTCTCAAACTTTATCTCAAGTTCCATTTCTCAACACCTATTAAAACACTTCTCATATCATCTCATATCATCTCATCTCAACAAATATAAAACATATATATACATACTCAAACTCTACTCAACTAAATTCTCAAATCTCAATTTAGTTAGGATCTACTTACCTTGTGAAAAAAAAAAAATGACTTCTCTAGCACTTTTCCTTTCCTTTGTTGTCTTGTCTTCTCTCTACAACTCAAGACAACAACAAGAACAGCAACAACCAAATAAGACTTCAATATAACTAGAAGAAAACTCACATCTAAAGTAAGAATCCTTACCTTAAGATGCTTTAGATGAAATCTCTACCCAAAATCTCTCTTAAACCTCTTAGAAATCTTGAGAAAATTGGATGAAGAAATTAAGAGAAATTAGACAATGGAAGAGGCGGTGGAAATGAATGAATAAAGGGGTTCTCTACACTTTAACTCTTTTTAGCTCATATTATAACCTTCCTTTTCCATTTTGCCCTTGCACTTTTGCTAAAATTCTAGCTATATCCTTTGATTATTTGCAAATACACCCTTATCTCTAACACATTCTCTAATAAATTTCCTTACATTTTACTCCCCACTTTTCCTACTAACTAGGGGTAGAATGGTCATTGTGCCCCAAAAGGAGAATTCTCTAGAAAACTCAAGAAACTTTTTATTAGGCTCGTCGCCGCGACGAAGAACTTTCTGTCGCCCTAGCGAAACAGGGCAGAACCTACCCGGGGGTGCAGCTCCTCCTCGCCGCGACGAAGCTTCTTTTTCGCCCCGGCGAAGATTAGATTTCCAAAATTCACCAAATTTCAACCAATTTCAAGGCAATAAATCAACCAACTCAACATACAAACTCATTTGAAGCTAAATCAATGAACCTTTAAATAATACAGCAAATCTTAAGTACGTACCTCAAGTGGGGTGTTACAGACATTTTATTCTATATCGCGTAAATCATTATTATTGCAATATGTATTGATACATGTCCTTAAAATGGTAGAACCGTGACGAGGGTATCAAGTTCTTCAAATCTTGATAGTGAGAACCTTGTGAGCACATATGGTGGCCATTCTAGAAACGTCCGTAGCCCTAGTATTATTCTGAAGTAAGGGCATAGATAATACGATAAGGCTATCATAGTGTTGAATGACCCTGTCGAAAGGCAGTGACTGATCTCACTTGTCAAGGTTGTTTGGTGACAACCTGGTGCAACACATGGGTACTTGCTGTAGGCGGATATACCACAGCAAGTTCACTGGACTGACCCACCAGAGGATTCCATATGGATGGTAACCCCAGTGTCTATGGAACAAATCCTCTAACGAATGGTGGTGCATGTGATCCTTAGACTTGAGATCACCGGAGCGCCTTGTGCACCGATTGGTGTAGTTTGACACTAGCCTAACGCAGTTCTTTTCAGAGCTGTCAATACGGTGGTGATTGGCTGCATCAAGGAGTGTATCAAGACTATGGTGGATTGACAGAGGATTTATCACTCCCGGGTACGGGAGAAAGTTATCTCACGGCGCAATTCAGTATATGGCAATGACACTAAAACTGTGGCCACAGTGGGATTGAGTTGTTGCTCTATCCAGTTTATAATACGGGTCATTGGTCCAGAAACTGAATAAATAATATCGAGAGTAACCGAAGGTTGACACTATTTCTATGCCTTCGTCTCGTCGAGATAACGTATGATGAAAGGATCGAATTGTACGGTAACCATATCGTTGACAGGTAGCTACTTTGCTGAATCCGAATCTATCGGGTGGCCATGATGCCTTGCTAGGGGCCAATCTTGGTCTGTGTATTAGTGAGACGATTAATTGGTGTTAATCGCGATACTATACACTGCCGGTATGATGAGGAGCCTATGGGTCACACACATAGAAGATAATTTAAGAGCCAAGAAGAAAGAAGGGCGTTTTCGTCTTTTTAGGCGAAAGGGTATTTTGGTAATTTCACAGTGCAATTAAATTTGCTGAGG